GGCCGCTCGCGGACATTAGCGCGGCAAGCTCGCTGAGCACGCTGCGCTTTCTCCTCGGCCAGCTCGGCGTCAAAGACGCGGCGCTCTATCGCACGCACGACCTGCGGCGCGGGCACGCACTGGACCTCTAGCAGAGGGGGGGGCACCTTGCGCGAGATCCTTCAAGCGGGCGAATGGTCCTCGCCCGCGTTCCTGTCGCATCTCGATATGACGCAACTAGAACTCGGCGCCGTGGTCGAGGCGCACCTGGCTGAGTCCGAGGACGAACTTGCCTAAGCAATGGCGACCCAGGCGTCGCGCGATGCCCTCGCGCGTTCGCCTCCGCCGCTGCGTGTCGCAACACCGCGGCGCCGCCGCGCGCATCGCCCGTTTCGCAAGGGGTGCGCGCGCCGCGCGCGTCGCCGCCGCGCGGTGCACCAGCGCGCATCGGCTGGGGGCGCTTGCATCCCTGGCGCCCCCGCGCGTCGGCTCAGACTGGCGCCGCCAGGCTGGGCGGCGCGGGGGGCGCCGCACCCCTTGTCAAGTGGGTGCGGACGCCCTCGGGTGCGGGAGGCTTCTGGCGCAGCTGAAATTTGTGGTGGGCGCCCAACGCCATCGAAAGCGCGCGCGCTCGCTTGTGCTGCGTTGTGCGCGGGCACAAATGTCGCGCCCGCGCCTGGCCCGCGCGCAGGCGGGCGAGCAGGGCGCGCGGGCCGCCTCCCGCTTCCCTGCGCCTCGCGGCGCGCGGCCCCACGAGAAGGGCCCGCGCGCGCGAGGGGGGCGACAGCATGTGCCTCGCGGCGCGCGGCCCCGCGCGAAGGGCCCGCGCGCGCGCGAGGGGGGGCGACGGCATGTGCCTCGCGGCGCGGGGCCCCACGCGAAGGGCCCGCGCGCGCGAGGGGGAAGCGACGTCGTGCGCGTTGCTCGTTTGCTCTTCTGCGCGCTTCGCGTCGAACGCCCCGCGCAGGCGCGCCGCGGGGATCGCGTCGGGGCGGATCGCGGCGCGCCTCGGGGTCGCGCGGTGTGCAGGCATTGGTGCTTGCATATTGCAGGCATGTGCGCTTGCGTCCCGCCGTGGCGGGCGGCGCGCGCGCTTTCGCCCCGCCCCCCCGCTCCTGGGGGCACTTGCATCCCTGGCGCCCCCGCGCGTCGGCTCAGACTGGCACCGCCAGGCTGGGCGGCGCGGGGGGTGCCGCACCCCTTGTCAAGTGGGTGCGGGCACCCTCGGGTGCGGGAGGCTTCTGGCGCAGCTGAAATTTGTGGTTGGGGAGGGGCTCCGTGTTCCTTACTTTTTTGGCAGCTTGCCTTAGGTTATCCTTCGGTTTTCGATGGGGAATCGAAGAGTAACTTATGGAAGAAAGGGGCCTCGTTCCCTGTTTAGGATTCCTTAGGTCAACGCCCCGACTGTAGGCCGGAGCAGCTGCCCTCGTCACGGGAGGCGCGAGGGCGCGCAGACGGGCGCGGGGGCGCGAAGCGGGGCGATTCTTGAGCGCCCAGAACGCACATAAGCACTTGGTTTCGCTCCTCCCAGGGCCGGGGGCTGAAGCTCAGCGGCGCGCCGGGGGGAAGTGAGAGGGGCAGGCCTTCTCAGAAGGCGGCGGGGCTCCTCACAAACCCCCAGCCTCCTGAGAAGCCCCCCCTTGCGGCTTCGGATAAGGCACAAGAGGCTTCTCGGAAGGCCGGAGGCCTTCTGAGCCTGCTGAGAAGGCCCGCCCCCTCAACATCCCTCCTGTGCGCGCCGCCGAGTCTGGTCCCCGTGTCATGGGAAGCGAAGGATCTCTACGAATACGTAGCATCTGCATGGACATACGGTGTCGGAGGTCCGCGCTGATTTCTGTTGATTGGCGCTGGGCCCCACTGGCGGCGCCTCTGTCGCGCCAGGGGCGGCGCCAGATGCGGGCCTTCGAGGGTTCGTCTATACTATACTTCTGTATAGCGTGCGTCATTGTTGTTTTGTCGCATGCTGATTTGTAGTACTATTATCTTTATTCGCCCTCTTTTTCTTTGCGTGTTCTTCTTCCTCTTCATACTTCCACTGTAATAGTATGATTTTAACTGTTCTTTTTCTAGCCTTGGGGCGTCGAATCGGAGACACGAGTGAAACCCATGCCAAACCAGCTCCCGCAAAGAGCCAACTTGGGGCCCTTCGCTGCCTCGGAACTCGCCTGGGGCCACCCCAGGGCCTCTCCTCGGCTCCCCTGAGGGAGCCTCTGGGGGCCCTCTTGCGGCTTCCCCGGGGCTCTTAGGGGCCCTCGGGGCTTTCCCCGGGCCGTGCTGGAGACCGGCGACCCGAAACATGCGGATCACCAATGTTTGACGCTCTCGCCAAGGGTGGCGCTTGCCTCTTGCACGCTGCTGGCCTCATGATTGGGTCTGCGGATTTGACCAGCTGTCGCGTTCGTGAAACCTTTTCGCGTTCGGCGGCTTTTGTGGCTTTCTTGCCGACCACTCTCCGGCGGGCAATGTCACACGTGAGTTCTAAGAGCATTTGGCCTATTTTACAGGCACCCATCTCGCTGTGTGGGTGGACTGTGGCAGCAAAAAGCCGCAGGCCGTTCGCAGCGTCTGCGAGCCCAGGCCATGGGTCATGGTCACAAGAGCATGCAGCATGCAGGACAAAACACAGCATTGCCATGCCACACGTTCCTTTCCTCCGTCGTCGCATCAGCAGATTTATATCGTCGTCGCATTCTCCTTGCGCGCGCACTGCTCTCGGCTCGTCAGTAGCAAGAAGGGATATATGGACGGATAGATGGACTCATGGTTGGATCGATGGACGCAGGGAGGGAGGGGGGGAGGTAGGGACTGCGGGACTGACAGACGGAGGGATGGGAGGTGGGCAGCCATGCAGTCAGGAGCATTCGTGCTGGGCCGGCGGGCGAGGGATGCGGAAAGCAAGGGGATGATGGTGTTGGTGATGATGATTATGATGGTGATGTTGATGCCGATGCTGATGCTGATGGTGGTGGTGGAGGTGGTGGTGGTGGTGATGATGGTGATGATGATGGTGGTTGTGGTGGTGCTGATGGTGGTGGTGGTGATGATGATAGTGGTGATGGTGATGATGGTGGTGGTGATGGTGATGATGGTGGTGGCTGTGGTTATGATGATGATGATGATGATGTTGATGATGATGGTGGTGGTGGTGATGAAATGATGATGGTGGTGATGAGGTGACGGCGATTGTTGTGATATGGTGGTATTGGTGATGATGGTGACGGTTGTGTTGATATTGATGGTGGTGGTGTCGACGATGATGGTGGTGATGATGACCACGACGATTTTGATGATGATGGCAGTGACAACGATGGTGATGACGCTGAGGAGGAAGAGGGTGAAGATTTCGACAGCGAGGATGGGGTATGATGATGGTGGTGGTGGTGACGGTGATGATGGTGGTGACGATGATAGCGAGCAGTAGTACATGATGATAATGATGATTATGATGCTGATGCTGATGCTGATGATGATGATGATGATGATGGTGGTGGTGGTGGTGATGGTGATGGTGATGGTGATTGTGGTGGTGGTGGTGGTGGTGATGGTGGTGGCTGGTGGTGATGATGGTGGTGGTGTCGACGATGTTGGTGCAGAGTGGTATGGTGATGATGATGATAATGGTAATATTGATGATGATGGTGAAGATGATGATGATGATGATGATGATGATGATGATGATGATGATGATGATGGGGAATGATGGTGATGATGATGGTAATGATGATGATGATGATGATGATGATGATGCTAATGGTGATGACCATGATGATGCTGATGATGATGATGATGGTGATGATGATGATGGCGGTGATAATGATGGAGGGTGGAAATGTTGATAGCGAGGATGGAGAATGATGCTGGTGGTGGTGACGACGATGTTGGCTGTGAAGGTCATGATGGTGATAATGATGGTGATGACGATGATGATGACGATGATGACGATAATGATAGCGAGGATTAGTGTATGACGATGATGATGACGATGATGACGATGATGATGCTGATGATGACCATGGACGGCGACGACGATGATGGTGATGGTGATGGTGATCGTGGTGGTGATGGTGGTGCTAATGGTGGTGATGGTGGTGGTGGTGCTAATAATGATGTTGATGATCCTGTTGATGATGATGAGGAGGAGGAGGAGGAGGACGAGGAGGAGTAGGATGGTTTTTTGTTTATGTTATGATATTACATGATATGATATGATATGCTAGGATATGATATGATCTGATCTGATGGTGAGGAGGAGGAGGAGGAGGAGGAGGAGGGTGGTGGTGATGGTGGTTCACGAGGATGAGAAGCAGAAGAACAGCAGAAAGAGCGACTTTGCACATGTGCTAAATCTTTGCTTGTTGCGGTTATGTGTATGTGAACTGGCATTCCTTTCTGGCTTCGCATTCGCTCCCCCTCGGCGTAGGGGGTGCCGGTCCCACTCGGGAACTTGCGTCGCGAGCAAGCAGCAGGAACAGGAGGAACAGGAGGGGAGGAGCAGGAGGAGGGAGCAGGAAGTGGAACAGATGCAACAAGGTCGCGAACGCAACAGCCAAGATGGTTATGTATGGCCAACGTCAAAAAAAAGCAGGAGCGAGAGCAGCAGAAGGGGGAGGGGTAAAGTATGGGAGGGGAGGCGGGGGGTGGGAGGGAAGGAGAGAGAGGGAGGAGAGGGGGAGGAAGAGGAGCGGCGGCGGCTGCAGGGGGGTGGAAGGAGGGCGAGGGGACGTCGGGAGGGCAAAAATACAGATACAAATAATCATCGATTTCCAGAAAATAAAGGCAAATATGGGGAATATCGGGACGTGTGTTTATTCATCTGTGTGCTCCTGGGCCCCTTTCAGGACAGGGGAGGGACAGGGGCTTCCGCTTCTTGAGCACGCGCGCCCTCCTTCTGACCGTTGGTTTCTTTAGGGCAGGCCCGCTCGGAGTCCTCTTGTTGCGGTCGTCGTCCTCGTCGGCGGCGGCGGCGGCGGGGGGGGGGTGCGGGGAGCCGTGGAGTAGCGGTCGGCGGGGCGACCCGCCAGGCGACTCGGCGACGCGGAGACGGGCGCCGCGGCCCGCGCCCCAGGGGCGGCGCGCGCGGCGCTGGGCGACGACGAGGCTCGAAAAGAAGCGCTCTCGGAGAGGGAGGACTGTCGTGCGTCGCCAGGTCGGGCATGGCCCTCCTACGGGAGGAGTGCTCAGGAATGGTGAAAAATGTTCTCGGGGCGGCGATGTTTGGTGACTTGTCTCTGACTCGTTCTCCTGAGTGCGAGTGGCCTCGGCAGTGCCTTGAGCCGACGGCGCTGCGTCACATCGCTTCGCTGCGCCCGCCGTGCTCTCTCCCGCTGCGCCGAAACCGCTCCTGCCCAAACTCCAACCTGCAGGGGCCTCCGGCCGCCGCTGGTCGCCCCGCGGGCCGCCGCCGGGCCGCGGCCGGCCTCGGTGGCGACCGCCCGGCTCTCGCAGCGCCCCCCCGTGCCCGGAGGCTCGGGCGACGTGCGGCTCCTGCCCCGTGTGCGGGCAGAACTTGTGTCCATATCCACTGCAGCCTGGGGGTTCGGACTCCCTTCCCCGGAAGGCCGAGGAGCACTGGATATGGATAAAAAGAAGGCCCCTTCTAGAGGCTCGAATCTTATCCATCTCCAGCGCGCCTCGGCCTTGCGGCGCCCCTTCCACG